ATATCTTAGTTACAGATATACAAAGCATACTTTGGTATATTTTTCTACATCAGCAAACATTTTCCTACTCTTTATATGTTACAAATAAAAATCAAACAAAATCCGAGAGATATGTCAGAGTTCAGGTAAGATTTTTACATATATGCAAATGATTGTGTACCAAATTTCTTTAGCAAATAACTGATTCAGTTCATATTCATAATGATTATTTCCATAGGCATAAAAAGTTCTGCGAATAATTGTTGGGGAAATGTAATTGACTGAGCTCTAGTCAGGCAAGGATACCTACCTATCTACAGTTTCCTTATGTAGTTTCCAGCCTCAGTTTCTGAAATCTTTATTGTTTCTACTGATGTTTTTCTCTTCTTATATAACTTCATATTTTGATCCTGGGTAAGGCAAGTCCCCAGTTTCCACTGTTCTTCTTTTTTCATTGTTTTCTCAACTATTCCCATCCATTAAGAATAATCTTAATTATATTCCATGGAAAGTCCTGTTATGATTTTGTTTGGAATTTTACTGAATTTGTGGCACTCTGGGTTAATACATTGGACTGCAAGATCAGTTTGAACCAAAAGGTCGGGGTTTAAGCATACCAGCAGCTCCTCGGAAACCCTATACAGCGTCTCTATGAGTCAGAGCTGCTCACCAGCACTTACCAACAACAACATAGCATAATGGGGTATGCGGTGGCTCTGTACAATAAGCACTGGGCTGCAAATCACAAGAATGGCAATTTGAGCCCACCATATGCTCCGGGGGAGAAAGATGAGGATTTCTGCCTCTGCAAAGATGCTCAGCTTCAGAAACCCTGAACAGGGTAACTATGAGTCAAAACTACTTGACAGCACTTATTAGGAACAAAAACATGGTGTAATGTGGGAGAAATGCCATTAGTGTAGTATTCAGGTTTCAGTTTCCTATCCTTGTAAAAATGGTTACCTCTGCCCAGAAATCTCTCTGTTTTCTTTCTGAATTTGCATTCCCATATTTAAGCATTGCTTCCTGTGTTAATTCTTCCCTGATTTTCCAAAACAAATAAGGCACTTATACTTACATGCTTCTTGATCCTTGTATGTCTCTGTTAGTAAAATTATCATGCTGAATGATAATGTTTTCCATGCTCAAACTCCTACAGCCTGAATGCATTTAATCTTGGTAGTTCTAGGACCAACCCAATGCAGGAGTAAATAGCTGCTAAATGAACCATTGCATGCCAGTATCAGCACTGCCACACCTAACCATGTCACACTGCCTGTCTGGAATAACGGTTTTTTCTCATATGCAAAATGAGAAAATTTTACAGTCACATACGGATCAAATAAAATATGCATGAAAAACATGGAGGAGTATGGGGAAAGGCAGCAGTAGCAACACCAAAGAATGATAAAGCAATTAGAATAATTTTTAAATAAGGCTTTAAAAAATAAAATCTGTATTAGCCAGCAGTACTTATGAAGCCTGAACACAATTACTCTTATACAAAAGTGATACTTGCATTTATGAAGTCATGAGTTGGCTGATCACTTTCTTACCCTTATTGTGAAGATATGCTATAGCTGATGCAAGGCTGTGAATGATCCACCTTGTCTCATTCTCAGAGAAATGCCCTTTCCTATCCAGAATTGCTTTGAGTTCTCCATCCTCACAAAGCTCCATCACAAGGTACATTGTCTGGCAATACATAGATGTTTAAAAAAAGATTAACAGTTGAGGATCTTTAAAAATGTTACTATTATATATACATTGTGAAAATCTTACCACAATTTCATAAAGTTGATCCATTCAAAATATTTACTTTTTATTTGGTGTTAAGCCACTGTTCTGGATTCTAGTGGGAAAAAGACACACAAAACATAGATTGCCTTCAAGGCACTCACAGTACAATGGTAATTAATGCCTTGTGATAGGTGTGAACAGAAGAGGCATGCCCCCAAATGCCACAGGGATGAAGAAAAGAGGTTGCCTCTGCCTGATGGATGCTCCCTGATGAGGTGACATTGAAGCCAGATCTGGATGTCGAAATAGAGATTTATGGGTACAGAATGTGGGGAAGAGGCAGAGCACAAGGTATGTGTCAGGGACTCCAAAGCTTGAAATAGCACTGACTGGTAAGAGGCTAACTATCACCTCAGTGTGAACAACACTGGGAGCAGGTGGCCAGAGCTGAGTGGAGTGGTGAAGAGTGAGGCTAGGAAGGATAGGCTGGTGCCGGCTGTAAAGTCCTGGATCTCTGCTAAGGAGTGTGGATTTTTCCCATATGCAATAAAGAACCACTGAAGAGCTTGCGGATGGTATTGGGGTGGGGAGAAAGGCGTGTTGTGTTATAAGTTTTGCATTTCAGAATGAATATTCTAACACAGTATAGAGCAGTGGCCAGCACACTCTTCCTGTATAGGGCCATATATAAATCTTTTCAGACTTTCAGGCTTTCCTGTCTCTTTCACAATTCCTTATATCTGCCAAGTGTAAGCAAATGCAGACATAAACAACAAAAAAATGGGTGCACTTGTGTCCAAAAAACTTTACTTATGGACTCTGAAATTTAAGTGGCATATAATATTCACATACCATGGGATATTCTTTTTTTAAAAATTTTCAACAATTTGAAAATGTAAACAACTTTGCTCATGGACCACTCTAAACCAGGCAAGATCTGGTTAACAGACTGGAGTTTGCTGACCCTCAGGTATGGAGGGAAGAGGAGCCTAGGTATTGTAAGTGGTTTGAGAGAAACTGTTAACCTGAAAGATTGGTGTTTTGAAACCATCCAGTGGCTCCACAGAAGAAAGTCTTGGAAAACTGCTTCCATAAAGAATGCAGCCAAGAAAATCCTATGGAGAAAATCAACTCTGTAATACATGAGCTCACTATGAATTGGAGGTCAAGTTGGCAGTAGCTAACAACAGCAACAAATTAGTTCTAAAGAGTCGAATTGAGGCACAAAATGGAGACAGAATGGAGGAGAAGAGAAAGATGTGAAAAACACCTAGGAGGTAGAAATAGTGGGAACTAGTAACTAGTTGGATGGGAGTGGGAGGTAACAAGTCATGGATGAAATGTTTCTGTGGTTGCATATTAAGATCACTTTAGATATTCCAACAGTCAAGCTATTTATGGAGTCAAATAGAATTCACAGAAAAACAAAAATGCTGTATTTTTCATATATATCACTGCCCAAACTATATACTGCACCTCCATTCTATCCTGTACTCTGAGACTTTTGTTGTTGTTGTTTAATGTTTTATTGTGTATTGTGTGATAATCTACATAGGGGAACATTAGTTTTACATTCCTTCCATCTTACATCATCTCATTGCCATAGTTACTATCCCATCCATGCATCATCACCCAACCTAAGGGTATACCCTGCAATCCCACCCACCCTCCCCTCACGGTCCTCAGCACAAGGCCCCTCTCCCTCTCTGGATCCCAAGTCCCCAGCCACTCCATCTCTTCACGTCATCCTCTCTCTTCATGTCATCCTCTCTGTCTCAGTCTCAGGCCTCACTGCTCCTCTAAGTGGGGTCCCGCTCTCCGCTCTTCTCCATTGATGGCCTCTAAGAGGGGTCCCGCTCTCCGCTCTTCTCCATTGATGGTTCCAGGGCCCTCCGCTCCTAGACTGAAAAGTTAATCACTCCCCTCCTTACTATAAAATGTCCACCTTTACATTTCCAGTCTTCACAGTCAGTCCTGGTAACAATTATTCACCCTTGCATCCCAAGGGACCCATCTGCATTTCTTTTCATCTGCCCTTCCTAGACAGGTTGGATACTATTCACTGGACACTCTATCATTCTTCCCGCCCTGTGGATCTAGGTTCCCTCTTGAAAGCTTGTAAGCCAGTCACTTCTTACCTGTTACAGACCGTGTGTAGACTATACAGGCCGCAGGCTCTGAGGAACAAATGAGGCCACTGGCAGTCATGGCAAATTGTTTTTAATCTTAGTATTCGGTTATGTTTATAATTAAATGCAGACATGAGCCCTTATTATCCACAGAGAAATATTAGAACCTCCTAAAGCTGAGACTAAAGGTTTCAAAGGTCAAGCCTTTCTCCAAAGGATTAACTAAAAATATCTTAGCTACTTCGCAGTTCTTTGTTCTACAGACAAAAAAAAGCCATCTTCCCTGAATCTCTCCCAAATCCAAGTTATTCAGCCAAGTTCCTGAAAACCTGGCTCAGGAAGCCAAAACAGCGGGACTCCGCCCAAGCCTTTTGTCCTTACCTCTCACCTTTCCCCAACTGAGCTCAGGGGCTATAGATATGTTAATTAAGCCTGAGAAACTAAGTTGCGGGCCTGGGATTCGAACCAGCAAAGCACGATGTAGAGTTACCTGAATGTCTGGAAAATTACTAATGTTAGCTGTATCTTGTCTTAGTCCCTTCCAGCTTGGTGTGAAGCTCCTCCGCTAAATAAAACAGGGGCCCAGGCCTGCCCAGGTGTGCATTACAAGTTGGAGGACATGCAGTAAAGATTGCAGGGCAGTGAGTTGCTGCCTGCAGAGGCCACAATGCCTGTACTCCCAAGTCTGCCCACCAGTGATGCATCCACCCTGGTTTTGGGGTGTCTCTTTGTCTCCCTCCTTCTGTCTGTCTGTGTATTCTTTCGCTATCTCTATCGCCGCTGGATCTCCCCTCCTCGTGAACCAAACACTTGTGAACAACACAACTATGTTGAGGACAGTCCCCGGCACTTACCTTTGTATCTCTTCTCCCATTTTTGGTTAGTCAATGTTCAAGATGCCTATCCCTATCTACTCTTTGTGTGGAGGGGGTGGGAATAATTCTTGGAGCAGGGATTTGTTTCCTCTTTTGAGCTACTGCATTTATAGGTGGATGTCCAGTTTATCAAACTATATTAGATGATGCTTTTTTTCCCTCGTCTTTCTTCTTCGGGTTGAGCTCTGTTCGTCCCATCATTAGAGCCATGGCAAGTGGGTATCATCTGCAGGTGTGGGTGTTCCTGCATCTGTCCGCCCTCTTCTTATCAGTTAGTCACTTTGGTTTCCACTCTAGTCCTCTGTGGATGTGTCACTAACTCTGAGCCCATGAGTCCCCAGGTCTTGCCTCACTGCTGGCCGACCAGGTCTCCACCCGGGTTCACCAGAGTCTGCTGAATGATGCAGGGCTTAGCTTGCTGCTTCTTTGATGTTCTTCAGTCACTTCTCTTTATGGGTGACTTGCGTGGTCGCCAATCAGAATGCATTTTCCCATTGCGTCTTAGTCTTGGAGGAGGATTTGCACTGAGAGGACCCGACCACTTGCCTCATGCCCCTGAGCAGACAGCTTGCTTATTCTTGTGGTAATAGTCGGACTGCTCTTGTTGTTTTCTATTTTTCCGGTAGGTCCTTCTTTCAAGAAGTGTCTTCTGGTTTTCTGGCTGCTCCAGGCTGGTCTGCTTGTCCTTTCAAGAGGAAAGTTTCCCTTCTCTGATGGTCTGGATGTGGTTCAGGCTTCCTTCTATAGTCTTATGTAACGCAGAGGCTCCTCATGAGACCTCCTTGACTAGATATGTTGTAGCCCCGTTTTAAGTATTCCAATTAGTTATAGGCAGAAGATGGACTTACAAGCTTTCTATGATGATATTTCTGGCTATTCCTTTCACTCTCCCTCCAGTGACTGTTTTATATTACAGTGCAAGGAAAACCAAGGTTCAAAAGTCAGCCAGGTATCTCAACATT